TATGAGGATCCAAAGATTCACTATTCATGCTGCAGTAACTTGTTGTGCTATTATTACTGTAGCAATGTTAGTGTAGACAAAAACCAGAATATTGTAACATTTTAAAAATACTATAACATTTATAAAAAACTGTAGCATTTAAAAAAGAATTACAGGGGCAAAAATAAAAAAAAGACTACTTTGCACGGGGTGCACACTAGTTATACATGATATCGGCTATGTATATAATGTCCGAAGAAAATAAAATTATAAGAAAGATGTAATGTTTAACGTTTCGCTAAACCTTATTGTTGATTGATAATCTAGAGCTCGGATAAGAAACACCAAAACTAAACAATCGTTTGAGCTTTGGTGGAAGAAGCTAGCGAACATTAACCAGATAGACGGATGAAGTTTAGCCACCAAATAGATAAACGACCAAGTAATGTAATCAAACATAGTGTACAAAGAAAGTTCAGAATCAATACAGACATTGGTGGCAAAGGATTACAATCCTACGGCATCAACAACGTACGAGAGATGTATAGACAAGGACTAACCTACGTAGAGGGTTTCAGGGATACTTGCCCCCATACTTTTTAACCCCACATGATTGAGAAGGACTACTGTGAGAACTACTAGTACTTGGTTTTGTTATGAAAATAATCATGTACTAATATAAAAATAAAACTAATAAATATCTTTTTTGTGTGTGTACAAATAAGTTTTTTCACTGCGCAGAATTTATATTATATAAGATATTTATTTATATGTGAAATTGTAAATATGTACCATGAGGGGAAACAAATTATGAATTCATCCTAGGTATAGACGATACCGTGATCATGGGAACGGGTTAGGCACAAAACATTCAAAGTCGAGGTCACAGGTTCAAAGACTCGTGCATTTCTATTGATCATTACTCGCCTTAATTTGATTGACTACGCAATAATAACTGTAGAAGACATCATAACACACCATCAGTATAAAGGATCCCGTCGTCAACAGGCTTGGGAATGCTCATCATAGTTGCGAGCAAGGCAAAAGAAGCAGGCCAAAAGGCACCAACTCTGTCCTCTTGCCCACCTCAAGAGCCCATGCCATGTTCTTGTCAGCAATAATCCTCGTGATCTTATCGGTCTCAGATCCGTTAATCTTGTCAATAATTAACCTCCTCCAGATAACGAGGCATGACCGCTAACGAACCATCACATAGCTTTCCAAGACCGTTGTGATCGTCCTCAGGAGCCAAACCGTTTGCGAGGACTCGAGATCATGGTTGAATTCAGTGATGACGAAGGTCATCCTGAAGCCGTGATCTACTAAGCAGTGAGAGAGCTCCCTCCACGAGGGGTATAACATGGCCCTGCGCTGGATAAGGTATTACAAGAGCGTGTCGTGAACACATCTTGTAGTATTGGCTTCGATTCTTGTAGTATATATTCACAAAGCAAGTATATGTAATTGGAAAAAAATACAGGTATTAACTCATTTTGCTTTCCTGCCATTCTGACTCATTATACGCAAATAATGTCAATACTAATATTTCACATCAGATCTTTTTTAACGTTTTCGGGTTGTTTTCTTTGAATATATTGTAAAGATACACAGGGGCAGATCCATGATTTCAGTTCTGGGGGGGTCGCGTACAAAAGATAGACGGAAAATTACGAAAAATTTTCTTACTGCAATTTCGTTCACAAGAGATACACTACAACCCAAACAAAACGAGTAGAATAGTCAACGTCAATATCTCCAAAATATTTCAATAGAGGAAGATAAAAATTATGTAGAAAATATTCAAATAAACATTTAATTTTTAAGGGAGGAGGTTTTACAGAAACCACCATATTTTTTTCTCAAAATTTTGGAGTGGCCGTGACCCCACGTGGACTATATATAGATCCGCCCCTGAAGATAGACTGCACTGCAAAGGACAATACGCATGTTTTCTTTTATTCAATTTCTAGCTCAATTATTGGAAGCCAGTGATTTAAGAATATATAGCTCCAAGTGACATGTGGACATAATCACATTAGCATCTTCTATCAAATTGTCAACGCTCTACCGACATTGTATAAACATAGCGACAGAATCCAATGTATTTTTCAACCAAACTAACCTTATAGTTAAATTAACCATGTTTTCCATTGATGTAACCTTAGATTTAGCCACCTTCTGTCGTGTCCGGGATTGTTAATCATTTAACCACCAAATTTTCGCTCTGCATTACGTAATCAATGTATGAATGATCTCAATATCTCAGATTTAATATGTTGATGATTATTTCGCTAATAGTTTTAAATGTCAAAAATTTCAACCCAAAGATAACCTCCTCAAATATACTTACTATAATGAAATCATGGTCAAGGCATCAACCACTAATCAACCATTAAATGCAATAATTTCTTGAGCATTTACCATACGACAGTTATTTTAATAATTGCCACCCTGGTCATCTCCTGATCACAAGTTCATGCCAACTGCCCCTATTATGATATGTAAAAATAATTCAGCAACAGACACCAAAATACAGAGAGGAAAAACAAAATACAAATAGCACATGCATAATGGGAGCTTGAGCAGTTTTAAATAAATCAATAATAATGCTAGTCCTGAGAAAAAGTCAAACTAAAATTCATTACATAAATAGTCCCAGTACTGAGGAAAGTTTAAAAGCAATATGTTTGGAACACCTCTTTCATGATTCTAAGATACGCACCCCAGAAGCATAATCATAACAAAGATAAATGCCAATGGTTGAGCATACAGACTGAAATTTGCTCTATTTTTTGGCAGGCCGGGAGGGCCCAAAGTAGTTCGTAACTAATCCCATGATTGCGAACCTGACAGATAAAAATAAATAACATTAGTATATACAATTTAATTGTCCTATTTAAGCCCCTAAGACTTAGCATTAGTTTAAAAGTACCATTGCTCAACTAGTTATTAATAATCTAAAGTTATGACCCAGAGATTTAAGTGTTCATATAACATCAAAGAAAAATTAGAGTAGAAACAGCTATTTTCTAGTGCTGCAAATAGATGTTGGGATCGTGGGATGCTAAAGCGAACCATGACCCCGGTTCAATCGAGATTTGCTGTGTTCCACAATCCGGGTTCAATCGTCCTGGATCCATTGAACCCTGGATCCGCAGTGGAACAAGACCCAATTCACCAACTGGGGTGACCCAATTTGGAAAATAAGTGAAATTTTTGAAAAAATAACTCTGATTCAGAGCATAAACAACAAAAAATGTGAGAAATGAAGCAAATAAAGTATCATGCGTTAATTGCAACATGATTCTCAAGGTTATTTTACCATTACTAATATCAACTAGCATATTTCTTAAACTTGACACTTGAAAACCTTTGATTCCTATACTTAAGAACCGAACCTAAAATCAATCACGTTCCCCTAGTGTACCGTATAAGCCTACCCTGCCTACCCTCTCGTACTCATTCCTAATTAGTGGTGTACCACGCTCCCATTCCCATCCCGTGAACCAGAACGAATGAGGTTCAATGCAACTCTGGTTGGAACAGCACAAAGTTAAAAATGAATCCGCATACACATATTAACAGATGGCATCAAACAAAAAGCTCCGGACCAGTCAACACCTTTCCTTAAACAATACAAGATGTACCGCAAAAAAATCAAATGTGAATAGAAAAAAGTGGATTCATTCGATAAAATTAAACTCCTAAATACACGAGCAGACTCATGGAAATTCTACACAAAGGAATCCATTAGAACTATAAAGCTTGCTACTATATTGTTCAAAGTGACACATTTATGCTTAATATGTATCTGAAGGAAATTTAATAGCCAGGAAAATCAAAATCTATCCAGATAAAAGTATATCAATATGGAAGAATAATATGAAGGTCACAACCATATAATTTTCAACATTGACTTCTTATGCCAAGGATTTTTCATCTTTTCATAGCTCTTCGAAAAGGTATTTCTGATTGTTTTCCTTTTATCATTTTTCTTCTAACTGTTCTATTTTCGCTTCTACTTTATCAAATGCATTTGTTCCCAGAATGCATCATGAGGGATTCCTTGGAAAAAGTGTTATAAACAAGGCAATGGTTGCATTATATACGAAAAAAATGTACGATTAACTACTTTGCCTCTTGAGAAGCATGTTCTTGCTATTGGTTGGTCTACGAGCTAAAAATAAATATACTTGGATTTAAGCCTAGTCATAATCCAAAGGGTTTTACTGTTTATTCTAGCATTACTTGTGGGGTACCCGATCTTGGGAGATAAGGTAGACTGACTGCAAAATTTATCCCATTTGACAATGACTCGTCTGGATATCTTATTGTTATTGGCTTTTTTAGTACATACAATCAAAACCCACATCAGCTTCACTAGAGTGCAACATATCATGTATTGTGGTATCTTAAAGTGTATCCATGTCATACACAATATTCCTCACTGTTGCGCTCTTAAAGTGTATCTATGTCATACACAATATCCCTCACTGTTGGGCTCAGTAGCATGTCTTACAAATGAAATCTTAAAACCCTACATTGACCTCGGAAGGTAAGATCAGTTGGTGGGGTAGATGGGACTAGGAATGATAACGGGTGAAGGCCTACCAACAGCCTAACAACACAGTCTAAAAAATTCCAGGTTTAACGTATAATCTAAAGATCTGCTTTAAGTTATCTATCTATGATGCATGCAAGATCTGATTTCCATGAATATTCCTCCTGGAAGGAAGTACAACTATTCAGTAAAGCCATTGAGTTCACTATCATCATCATGATTACCTTTTCTCTATCAAAACACGTTTGCTAAGGAGCTCTATAGGGTCCTGGGAAGATTTGACAGAAATTAATAAGCTGGCAAACAAATATTAATCTTCTAACTAATAACTGAAGAAACAAGGGCATGAGAACCTTCGAAGTTCTTCCAGGTTAACGAAGATTCTAGAAGAAGATGAAAGATGTGGAACTTCAAAAGAAACATTCAAACCCCAGTTGATGGTGGTTGCATCCTTTCATGTTTGTCAGGGAAATAGGGTCTATGACATTGCTGGGAATAAGAAATAAGGTATGCAGAACCCACGATGAACAACCACCTATGAAAAGTGGGGGTACTTGGAACTGGCCTTTTTTCAAGAATTATTTGCACATCACCCTTTGAAGGTTAGGAAGCTACATTTGAGAATACATACTTTATAGGTAACTAGTAAAAAAGAAAACTAAGCTTTATTTTGCAAGAAATAAATAAAAAACCTAAATGACATGATCACCATATTCTACGACGGAAGGGAAATAGAATATACTTTTTTGATCGGAAGCCCACTTTACAGTGAAAATTGACATGTCAATGCTTAATGATTAGTCAGACTTCTCATCTCCAGCCAACATAAAGCCTGTTCAAAATGACAGACTTAGCTATCCACACTTATGCTGAAATGAGGTTATTCATATGTGGGACTTAAGTTTAGGAACCTCTGAAATCAAATTCCACATGCTAGCAACCAGAATGGTCTATTGTGTCAAGAAGGTCATTATAACATGGAGTTCCATATAAAGACCAAATGATGAATAGAAGCATATTTCTAGCTCCCTACCTTTTCTTTGTCAACAATATAAACCTTTCACCTGTAATTCTGTAACAACATTGGATAACTGCTATTACCTTTTATATTTGACCTTTCGGTTGTCAACCTATAAAGCCCCTATACTTTTGAAAGACTGTGTGCTTACTTTTGAAAGACTGTTTATTCATGCTCTCTAGAAGAGGCTACAGAGAGGACGATAGTCTGGTAGAGATTAAGCATTCCCAAATAGAAGAGAGAGAAAAGCGAACAGAGGAAATGAGCACTCACAAGCACTTTGAGAAAATTAAAGACTAATGATCACCACAGAAAAAATAAAATGGAGAATTAATAAATATAACGGAAGTAAACTTGTGATGCGAGTGTTGAAGGAATAGATCAACTTATATAGGAAAATAAAATGACAATAAAAGTGAAAAAGGGTTAACAGAGTGACAAATGCAAAAGTGTACTTACATCATTGCCATGGAGATCTGTTTCAAATCATTTTCCATATTCTTCATGTTTACAAGAGACTGAGCACAGAATATTATCGCCAGCCATGAGCAGAGCTTGTACTGAACAATGAAGAAGAAACAAAGAGGGTACAAACTATAAGAAAGGGACATAAGCGCATAATCATCAAGGTATTAAAAAAATCTGCTAGTAAGAAACCCTTAGACTAGTATTGTACAAGACATGTGTTGATTAACTTTGACCTGTCATGAGCTTAAATTTAAACATGGAAAAATATTCACAGGATGTGGTTATAGCATTCAAATAAATACCTTCAGAATTTGCAAGCAAGCATTTCAGTTCCACGTCCCTATAAAGCTTGAATATCCTTTGGCTTAAGATGTTGGATCATTAAAATGTATATACTTCTTAAATAAATTTTCCATATGATTCTCCAGCTACAGTATTTCAACATCTGAACACGTGTTCAAGCATATGTGCGGGCACCATGTATGTTCTCATGAGTTTGAATGAGGTAATCACCACAAAGAATCATGCCTTTCGGCTCAATGTACTGGATTACTGAAAAATAAATACTTCAAACTATTCTCAATTTGTTATTCTAAGCTAGAAGTTTCCACCAATATGTCAGCCAAGGCTACAGAAAGCTCTAGATGGCCTACTAACCTGACGCCTAGAGCCTAAGCGCCTAGGCGGAAGCATAGGCGGGGCGCCGGGGCCTAAGTGTTTTCCTATCTTTTTAATTTTTTAATTACAATTATTGATAGTCAATGCCACTATTATAGAAAGCTTAAGTGCAACCAGACATATTTCTTAAGTGGTGGCAGAGAAGGTTTTCTTGAAGGTCAGGAGATGTAGAGGAGATGTTCATAGTTGGAATTTAGATGAGGTTGGAGGATGTGGAGGCTGCAATGGAGGAAATCATGATCAATACCTAAGGGATGCAGTCCATATAGGAAGACCACGCTCTCCTAAGCGCTCCTAAAATCTAGGTGCGCAGTCTTAATATCGCCTAGGCGCTAGGTAGGCGGCCAAGGTACCGCCTACGTCTAGGCGTACGCCTAGGCGGGCTAAGCGAAGGCTTTCTAAAACATTGATATCAGCTACATATTACCAACCACTATAAATACGTCAAAATATGCATGAAGCTAGCAACCAGTGCAAGGGTGTGTTTCCACCTATGGAGAGCAAGGGTGTGTACGAATGTGGAGTCATACTTATCAGACACCATAAATACCAAAGATAATACCTCCTTTAGAGAAATAAAGCAACATTTATTATACTGACACAAAGCAATAATTTTTTTAAGGATGAAATGTTTGGAAACTATTTTTTGATAATAAGATGAAGTTTTAGGCATTTACGGAAAACTGTATTAATATACCACTTTATAGTTTCTGAAGCTTTTCTCAAGCATTATTCTTCTGAAGTTCTGATAAGTTTACACGTCCAGCACTCTTGTCAAGAAGTATTTTTTGGGTGTTCTAAATTTCAGTAAGTTTACGAATAATAGCACTTTATGGAGACCACTGTTTTAAAAAACCTCCGCCTAGTCCGCTTAGGCGTACGCCTAGGCCTAGGCGGACGCCTAGACCTAGGCGGTACCTAGACCGTCTAACTAGCGCCTAGCGTCTAGGCGATATTTAGGCTGCCCACCTAGATTTTACGAGCGTTTAGGAGAGCATTGTCTGCTTACGTGGATTGCACCCTGTAGATCTTGGTTGTGATTTTATGTGTTGTAGCCTACACGTCCTCCAAACTCCATTAACCTCCAAATATGAACATCTTGGTTGTGATTTTATGTGTTGTAGCCTACACGTCCTCCAAACTCCATTAACCTCCAAATATGAACATCTCCACTACCTCCTCCGACCTTCTCCAAACTCCATTAACCTCCAAATATGAACATCTCCACTACCTCCTCCGACCTTCAGCAAAACCTCATTAACCACCACTTAAATGAAGAAAGAAATCCGTCTAGACACCAGTCTGGCATCTAAGCTTTCTATAACGTTGACATTCACTATCAATTATTGTAATTTGTAATTAAAAAAAATCTTAGGTTTTAGCCTTGTTAATTATTATTTTGGCTATTTAGTATCTAAGTATGCATGATTTATTGTGGAACTAAGATTGCTATCTTTTTTAAAAATTTCATATGAATTTAATACATATTTTTATTAATTATTATAATTAAATAATTTAAAAATAGTCAAATGCCTAGGCAACGCCCAGGGGTCTAAACGCTAGGCGCTCGCTCAAACGCCTAGTCTGTCTAGCGACTTCTGTAACATTACCGAGCTCCCCCGATCTCTGTAACTACTAACAAGATAAATAATACTTCTTAAATATCTATTTAAGTTAGTTAATAACAGTAACTTAAACTTAAGAAGGGTAAGTTAACAGTAAACTTAAGTTTAATTTTAAATTTAAGTTAAACTTAAGTTTAAGCTAACAGTAAACTTAAGTTTAAGTTGAAGTTAATATTAAGTTTTTTGTTGATGGTAAACTTAAGTTTAAGTAAATAGTAAACTTAAGTTAACAATTAAACTTAAGTTTAAGTAAATAGTAAACTTAAGTTAACAATATTTTAGTTAACAGTAAACTTAAGTTTAAGTTTATTGTTAATTTAGTTAACAGTAAACTTAAGTTTAAGTTTATTGTTAACTTAAACTTAACAGTAACTTATAAGTTAACAATAATTTGAGTTGAGAATGAGTTTTTACTGTTGAGATGAACTTATAATTTGAGTTAAGAAGTATAAGCATACAAAGAGCTATTGTAATTGGTAAACCAAATAATTTAGTTAATAGTGTTGATATTTTAGTATTTATGCATCTTTGATTGAGTATATATATATTTATCTTCAAGTATCACAATTAAAGAAAAAAAGAAAAAAACGCCTAGAAACCGTTTAGGTGCCCGCCTAGGCGACTAAGCACTGGGCGCCAAGTCCGACGTCTAGAAGCGCCTAAAGTTTAATGTAACATTAATGGAGACAGTAATTTGTATTCGACCACTTAGAGGGAACTGTATCTGCAAAGTAAGGACGCTTTTCTAAACATTTAGGAAATTTATCAGTGAACTCCCATGAAAAATGTTTTGGTACTCATGATATATGATACATATGTATATGTAGCTTTTGTTACTTTAAAAAACAGTATACACAATTTTATATATTTCAGTTGCTATGAGAATATAGTCTCTCTTGATTTTATAGTATAAATTAGTTTAACAAGAATATTATTCATGTTTGATAATTAACATAACCACACAACTCTTAAGTCAAATACAGTCAAATATTTCAATGATAACTTTATAATAGAAATGTTATACAATCTATTAAATATAATCAATAATTCAATATAATGTAAATCAAATATATTCATAAAAGTTCACATGCAAGCATGTCGCACATACATGTATGTTAAAAAAAACTCATGCATTTCTATTAACTTTATTATAACAATCTCTATCAGTATCATCACATATATGCAACTTCATAATAAATATTCCATCTTTTGAAGCTCTATTCTCTTCTCTATTGTCAAAAAGGATGCATTAACAGAAAGTGATATCCCTCTAAAGAGTGCAAGCGAATTGAAAGGAATGGCAAATAATTATTAGTTGATCGTAGAGAATAAAGTAAAATGATGCGAAAATGTTGAAACATTTCAACAAAAACCAAGCAGATTAATTCCCTCATGTTCAAAGAATAATTGAGATTATATTACTGTCTTTGTTCAACCTTCATTAAAATCATTATTTTAAAAAATTGTCTAGGAGCCCGCCTAGGCGGTCGCTTAAACCTAAGTGGCAACTAAGGTGCCCGTCTTAAGTCTTAGGGGCAACTAAGGTGCCCGTCTAAGTCTTAGGAGCACCTAGGGAAGAATGGCTGCTTGCGTGGAAAATAAGGTGTTAGAAAGAGTTATATTGCTCGCTTAAGCATAGTAATGGTTGAAGAGAGTTAGCTAGGTTAAAATGTATCGGAGATCAAAACTCTATGTCCAAGTCTATCTCAAGTAAAATAGTGAGGATATAATTTGAATCTTCAAAAATAATCCTTCCTCTCTCGGTGTTAAAAACGTCTATGTGCCGCTTAAGCGTCCGACTAGGTGCATGGGCACTAGGTCCGACGCCTAGAAACACCTAGCACTTTCTAAAACATTGATTAAAATTGCAGAATGTGACCGATTTACTTTTTCTGTAAGTTTTCTCATCTTTACATCTCGGTCATTTTGGCAGGAATAGGACCTGGATAATAGTCATTCATTTTTCCAGCTTACCCCCCACCCCCCACCAAAAAATAAAAGCACACATGCGCCAAAAAAAGGGGAAAAAAAACTTTGACTTAGAGGGTGTTTTTGGAAAGGATTTATGGTTTGGAGCTTACAATCTATGCTTTGTTGGATTATGGTTTTTATGATGAAAACTTTTATAAAACATGTATGGGTAGAAAATTCAGTTGCTTGGTAAAACCGAGCTTATTGGGATGAGCTTAAAAGATCGTTTTTCAGAAGTTGGAAAACCCCAACTTTTAAAATAGGACTTAAAAGCTAAGCTTATTTGGAATATTACCAAACATGCAGATATGGAAAAGCTAACTTAAAAGTTACTTTGACCAAAAAATAAGCTTCCCAAACACCCTCTTAACATTAACAAATAAACCTTCAAATTTCTCATCTGAAGAAAAAGGCGATCTTATATGCTAAAATCACATCCCTTGTGTCCCTCTAATCTTCCAAAATAGTTTTCTAAATCCTATCAGCAAATGATGCTGATTAGTGCCTCATACATTTTCTAGACACTAACAAACAAGATTTTATCCAAATAACGAGAATAAAATTTATAAAATTCGTGACTTTTCCATATAACCCTCAGCTCCGAACATTCGGTGACTAAAAACTCTAATAGAAGTTGGGAGGTAGTTGCTCGTCTTTATACCTAAGCTACTTTAGGTCGAATAGGACCCAGATGGCCAGATCTTAGTCCTTTTTCTTTCATTTTCTTATTTTGGATCAAAGTTCTAATTTTTCTGACCTAGTACTATCAGGATAAACCTTTTAAAAAAAAAATCATATTTTGAAGAATCAAGGGACTCCTATACTCCAAATTCCTCTCTATTTCGCCCAGATATTTCCCAAATAATTTTCGAAATCATATTACCAAATACTTACCGCCTGTTTGTACGGCCTCGCCGTAGACGGCTGCCGAGGATCGCTCGCCGTTGAAGAGCTCGCCTCCTTCATCTCTCTCTCTCTCTCTCTCTCGATTACTCGTTGATGTTCTCGGATTCACCTCCACGTTTGGGATCGGGGACCAAGGGAATTGGCTCTAGGGGACCTCAACTGTGTCGCGTGAAGGGCGGCTTTCTGTCACGTGCATAAATGAAGCCGAGGAGATTTCGGGTGGGTATTAGAAGTATTTCTACCCATAACAATAGTTCTAGCAACCGCATTTATTCAGCGCAAGTACGTTCATCCGTTCATTTTTCAAAATCCATTTTTCTTTATTTTTTGGTGTTTCCTTTACTTTTATAGAAAATGTTTCTTGTATTTGTTTTGCTAAAAAATATGAGCGGAAAGTACTTTCCCCTATTTTTTTTAGTTTGGTTCAAACTGAAAAAAGAAGAAAACATTTGATATGTGAATAGATTCACTCATTTTCTAGTATTTGGTTCAAACTAAAAAATCAAGAAAACTTGATTGTGGTCACCATGGTAAGATTATTACCTTTATAAGATAAATTTATTTCCAACATAAGTTGAGAGGTGAACATATATCAACCGATAAAAATATTTAAATTTTTGAGGGACTTGTTTGTAATTTTTAAAAAGATTTGAGGCAGTGATTTGCGAAATATTCGATAATTCATCTGTTTTCTTATGTGCCGTATATAGTTACAATGCTTATTATATTGCAGTACATAATTGAGTTTCTTTTCTCACTACATCTCTGGCTCCCTGTTACATCTTTACTACACGATTTTCTTTTTCTTAGCTTATTACGTCTTCAAAAACTGAGTTTCTTTTCTCAGATAAGGATCTTAATTACATCTTTTGATAATTGAGCTTCTTTTCTGAGCATGGCCCTTAATTTTTGTCTTCAATAATTAAGAAAGAGCACTCTTGCTGGACTCTTGGTATGTTAATGTCACTTTTATATTCATCTATATTATTAATTATAATACTGCCTTTTTTTTATTTCTGAACAAACAAATTTGCTGGTTTTTATTTTATTTTATTTTATTTTTGTAGGCACTTGGTCATGATGTTCATCCGGATGAGTATCACAGGTGAAGACCAATATGAATAAATTTGTAATTACAATTTGGATCAATTCACAAAAATTGGAAAATATGTGAATTTATCATTAATATGCATTACATTTATTTATTTATTTATTGTTGGCCATCAGTTTCGTGCACGGGAGGTTGCCGTATGAGAACATCCGACCCGACCCAAAGTTAAGACAGCTCTTGCTCAGCACGCCACAGACCAAAATCGTAAGCTTATCGTAAGCTTGTTTAAACAAATGTTATTTTTATAAGTTTTTACATAATTTGGGTCGGATCTTAACGAACTCGGATCTTTTTGGTTATCAGATGTTCACGAATTCGGACCGCAAACATGCGAAGAAAGTTTTAGAGAAACTTGGCATTGAGGAGGAGATCTTTGAGTGCATTAATTAATAATATAGATGAATATAAAAGTGATATTTTTTTTCTTAGCTTATTTTCTTTTTTGTGTCTCATGCAGCTCCAGTGCCTATCTATGGCTGTACACAATTTGTTTCTTTTAATTGCTATCTTTTAAAATTCACCGCAAGGAGTGCTTCTCTATAATAATATTACCTCTATTCGGCAAAATGCAGGAAGGCGGATTACTACTGCTATATCTTGCTGAGTTTAAAAGTTGCGAGAAAAGAAAGAAACAGCTGATCAATCTCTGGAGTAGTACAAGGCACGTCGAAAACTTGAGTCACTTGTTTTGTTTCCTCATGTACATATCTTTAACATCTTCTTCTATTTTTACTTTTCTAAGGAAGCATCTATGTATGGGAATTACTAGAAAATCCCCTTTAATTTTAATCACAAAACACCCTCCAGCTTTGAGATCTTATCAGAAAACACCCATAAAATAGGGCGGCTTTCTGATAAAATCTCAAAGTTATAGGGGTTCTTCTGATAACCCCCTGAACTTAAGCGGGGTTTTCAGATATTTTCGAAGTAATGGTGGGTTATCCAATAACCGTCCAAAGGTGAGGGGGGTTTTCTGAAATCTAGCCTTTACAAATCATACATAAGTTCAGGAATGTTTTTACTTACTTATTTATTTATTTTTGATTTATGAATTCGAAGGGGTTTGTGAAATTTACCCTACAACATAATTTCGGCAAGTTCCTAACGCAGCTATATATACTGTTCCTTACTGTATTGACTCTCATCAGTGCATATATCTGAACTCACTTGCAGTGTTGGGGGCAGGCAGCAACCCTGCAACTTGAAGGGCACGAGAGTTCACTTGGTTGGATGGAAGCACTCTCTAAAATTTGAGAGAGTGCTAACGCTTTTCTTCCAAAAATGCTTTTCTTCCAAAAATGCGTTCATTGTTGTGTTCGGGCTTCTCGTAGAATTTTTGTCTTCAATAATTCATTCGTATTTTCTTTTTTGTGTCTCATGCAGCTCCAGTGCCTATCTATGGCTGTACACAATTTGTTTCTTTTAATTGCTATCTTTTAAAATTCACCGCAAGGAGTGCTTCTCTATAATATTATTACCTCTATTCGGCAAAATGCAGGAAGGCGGATTACTACTGCTATATCTTGCTGAGTTTAAAAGTTGCGAGAAAAGAAAGAAACAGCTGATAAATCTCTGGAGTAGTACAAGGCACGTCGAAAACTCGAGTCACTTGTTTTGTTTCCTCATTTACATATCTTTGACATCTTCTTCTATTTTTATTTTTCCAAGGAAAGCATCTATGTATGGGAATTACTAGAAAATCCCCTTTAATTTTAATCACAAAACACCCTCCAGCTTTGAGATCTTATCAGAAAACACCCATAAAATAGGGCGGCTTTCTGATAAAATCTCAAAGTTATAGGGGTTCTTCTGATAACCCCCTGAACTTAAGCGGGGTTTTCGGATATTTTCGAAGTAATGGGGGGTTATCCAATAACCGTCCAAAGGTGAGGGGGGTTTTCTGAAATTTAGCCTTTACAAATCATACATAAGTTCAGCAATGTTTTTACTTACTTATTTATTTATTTTTGATTTATGAATTCGAAGGGGGTTGTGAAATTTACCCTACAATATAATTTCGGCAAGTTCCTAACGCAGCTATATATACTGTTCCTTACTGTATTGACTCTCATTAGTGCATATATCTGATCTCACTTGCAGTGTTGGGGGCAGGCAGCAACCCTGCAACTTGAAGGGCACGAGAGTTCACTTGGTCGGATGGAAGCACTCTCTAAAATTTGAATCCAGGCTTTTCTTCCAAAAATGCGTTCATTGTTGTGTTCGGGCTTCTCGTAGAATTTGGCATGCTGTGGTAATTGTGGTGGTGATGATGCTCATGGCTGAATTTTTTGAGATGGGTCAATTTATCCCTGAAATCTGACTATTTGCCCATTTGTTTATGAGCTTGGTTTATCTCTCCAATTTCTGCTATGATCTCTTCTCCATATACTCCCAAAATTGTTGTTTAGGGGGTGGGTTTATTGCAAAGTTGCAGTATGCCTAACATACATACCCCAAGTAAGTTGACTATGCTATTAAACTTAAACATCGTTTGATCAACTCCTCTCCCTTGATCATAATTGTCATTCCTAACGTCATGTTGTTGATGGCCAAGTCACACAAATATTCGATGAACGCTTCGAAACAAACCCATCACCTTGATAACTCCAATTACTTTAAACCCCCCATCTAATTGTTATTTAAATTAGATCATATTTCATGAGTTAAACATGTTAAAATCCATCAAGGTGGTTAATAAAGCTCTCCGACAGCTCTGTACTCTTTCAGATACGAAGAACATACAAGCTTATCTCTAGCCGGAAAAGTTCAGCAAAAGAAGGCTACCTGAAGTCTACACTCACAGCCCAAATCAAATTACCATCACAGAGCAAATTAAACGAGACATGATATACACAGGAAATTTACAAGACATGTTTGGTAGTTTTAGCAAAAGAGAGATCTCAACAAAAGGACCTTACACTATTTGCATTGATCTAACATGTCCTCGCTAATGTATCGATATCCTGGAGAAAAACTCGGGTACTTTCTTCTTCGTGCACTAAGCAAACCTGCATTTATGCACGATGGAGTAAGGTTTAAGAAAAGATGATCATGAGAGTTTCGAGCACCATTGTATTTGTCCAGCCATATCAAAAGCCGTTGATGAGGGAACGTGTATACAGAGACTTACCTTGTGAGTACACATCATTGCTCTTCCTTAATGAAGAAATGCTGTGGTAGCGAAAAATCTTCCTCTTGATTCAAAGTGTCAATCTCCTCATCATCAGGTTTCTAAGAATTAAAAAATGATAAATAATTAGCATCCTATATCATCAATCCATGTACTTCGCTATCAACTTATATATAACAATAAAACTTTCATCTGACAGAATTGTCTCGGGAACTAAGCGATCCTTACAGAAATAAGAGAAGACCAAATGCATTTCCTAGCACCATGTAAGATCACTTTACGCTCACAATAATCCCTTAGGCACCCTACCTAAGCTCCACCCCTGGGTTAGGTTAGGTTGACCTTCGACCTAATCAACCTATAAGATGCACACTGGTACCAAAATATCCAATAAAATATTAGTTCTCTCATTATATTTCCCGTGTTTGAACTCTGAAACGTTTAATGTCTTCATACATATGTACCATAAATGAAAGATAATCTTGGCTAGAAAAATCCACGCAATTAGGAAGTTGAAAATCAAAAGGCTTGCATTAGGGAGGTACAATCTTTTCAACGTCCTCACTGAGCCTTATAAGGACCCTATGAATTAATATGCTAAGTTAATATGCTAAGTTGATGTGCAAAACAACAAGTTTTGCCTCTTATAAGAGAAAAACTAGAAACCTAGGGTGCAAAGTGTCATACACTAAAGAGATAGCACAGTTAAAACTTATCCGAGATATCTTATGACAACCCAATGACCTCAAAGGTAGTTGATGTCGAAAACGATTACTCACCCCTTCCTACTAGTATCATCATAACCATTGCTAAAATATTTGAGTCCAAAGGCTCTAAATTGTGATATTGGAACCGTTTTTCTACTGCTAATTAAAAGTGACAGACAGCTCCAAACGAAAATGATTGCTGTTCCCTTGCAGCTTTACAACAAAAGCAATCTTCGTAAATTGATTGCATCTCATAAGGAAAAATTGAGTTAGAAGAAGAGTGAAGTCGACTTACACCATATTCACTAATGATAGTATCTAATTTCACATTATCAATTTATTAATTCTTTGATGTCTTCTAAAACTCATGGCAACATCTATCATTAAAGACCAAAAAGGGATATGTTAAAAGAAGGAAAAAAGAAAACAAAAAAAGGATATTAAACAGTTTTCATTTGGTTAACAGCAACTAGGAATCAATCAATAAGGAACAAAGGATATTAAATAGCTTTCATTTGGTTAACTTTATGTCTTTATCAAATATGATCTGCATGATTTTGATTAATAAACTATAGCATATTAAATCAGGAATATCAGAAGGAATTTCACACTTGATTTCAGGAGATCAGGATTCGAGTTTGAAGACTTCCAAATGAATAAATTTACAGACATCTTAGTATTACATTTTATTTGATACTACTCTGGACCTTCTTGCAGCTCTGAAGTGAAAATTCAAATGGAAGTGACACTTCCACTTGTTTGTAATCGGTGCTTTTAGACTTAGTTTTATACTTTAAAAAAATGCTCAACTTTCCCTCCATGCCATCATTCCACTTCAGAGTCGAAATGAATTTATGAGACAAGCATATCCTCAGGTCATATAAGTTCCAGAATTCAGTTTGACTTACCTCAGTGAAGTCCAGCACTTCAACCTAAACAAGCACATCAATCATTACATATTTACATGAAAGCAAAGAACCAATATTCCCTTAATTACAACAGTCATACTACGAAGTGATTGTACCACATAGTTCAGAGGCTCTCTACTGTCCCTTGATAAAATACAATAGAAAATTTTAATAGGAAAAAATATACGAAGTTACACAAGGTAATGTGCAACTAACTATAATTAGGTAACCATATAGCTAAAACTAACTATAACCATATGGGGCTTCTCAGTATAAACACATCTTTGGTTTGAATGAATATCCTTACCAGCATTTCCAAATTGAAGAAACGATCCAACAACTGTAAAATTTCATCAGCTGAGAAGTGTTTATCGAAACTGCAAGATTGCCTTTCCCCATAAATATACGAGTATTATACATCTAACCTCATAAATTTAAACAAAAAGGTAATAAATCTACCTCCTCCGCAGAAATTCCATCATCCCATAAAGAACAAAATGCCGATGCACACCTGTGAAGGACATTCCTTACTATTAGAATACAGAAAGCGTAAGAGAAAAATACAGAAGAAACTTTACCAGTTAGAAATGTTTACTATTTTGATATCGCAAATACCAAATTGGACAGCATTTAGGCTTAAAAGTAGCCAATTAGGTTTCAACACCAAAATGTCAAGAAAGGAATTAATTCAAAGGACGAGGACTCAAAATGGTGAACTAAATCATATTTACAGACAAGAAAAATCATATTTACAGACAAGAAAAATCATATAAAAAACGCAATCTCATGCAACACAGATTTCCACTATTCAATATACTATGATTGAGAAAGAGAACACTACAGTTTCATGATTTAGGCCCCTAACATCATGCAGTCTTAGGGTAGCGAGCTGTTTGTTCTCACTCATTCCTCTCTGTACAATTTCCAATTAAAGACTCTACTTCAAAATTTTAGTATTCCATAAGTGGAACCAGATCAGCCAGATTGACATGATAAATCCACGCCCAGCCGGAAATTGATTGGCAAGCTAATCAGCATATTACATTGCAACAAAAGATAAGGAAACTGAGTTTAGTTGTCTTTTAATAGTATAATTGTTAGTTGGCTAGTTTTTTGCAAATTACATAACATGAATGTGGAACTTCATGCAACCCAACCCCTTACCAGTGACCGGGCTCCCTTCAACAAAAAACTTATACCATCTTGATCAATGTTTGTGCTTGGAACCGTTAAACTTTACTTGTCACGCGTTATGAAAACTAATAATTACAAAATAATAATAATAATAATAATAACATCAATAGTTATACCATGTTAATGAACATGCACGACATCAATCTCAACAATATCGCATCATCCATGTTACGCAAAAAGAAAGGGCTGTAATTTCAGTTGTAAAGTTTCAGATACATAAAGCAACAATTTCCCATAATTTTCATAATCACTAGTGTTGATTTCTTAAAAAAAAAAGGAACCTTTCAATTTGGCGGGAGGATAGATTTCGAGAGCCTCCAAAACCCTCAGTTCCAAATCGACTTGCGAGTGCTCCTGCTCAATTAAAAGAGAAAATTTTAGTTTTTTTAGGAAAATAAACGAAAATACTAAGGATTAAATCGAGAAATTGAATAAAGGAGGGGACTTTAGGCAAAGAGGATGCCGATGAATGGGGAGCTTTGGCTGGGGAATGAACGGAGAGGCCGTCTTGTTCTTCATCGCCTGCTGCCTTCATTATCTTCGATGACGATGATTCTAGGGCTTTTATTTCTGTTATAATTATAATTTTGGAGGGTCGAAGGAGAAGAAAATAAATGGGGTTTTAGATATTAGTCCCCCAAGTCGTAGGTATTGAGGTCCCAGGTCCTCTAAATCCAGAGGTGTCCGGTCGGTTCAATTTGGGTCAAACCCGACCCATTTAATAAATATAATAAATAGGTGAAAGCACCCGACTTGTTTATTTTATTTTATTTTTTTGAAGAAAAACAGGGCCAGAGGCCCTATTCATGTATAAATATTAAAATTAAGGATGATAAATATTTACAAAGACAAATACTTAAGTAGGTGAGGAAGAAGGGACCAAAGGAAGATATGAGCTACCAGGAGAGGACCTTGCCGTCACCGATAAGGAAACATCTTCATTGTTCCGATCCACTTACCAAAAGGGAAAACAAAAAACAACAAAATTGATAGTCTCAGGGGAACAAAATAGACAACAAAAAAAGGTTCGCAAAAGAACAAAAGGGGCCCTGGAAGATGATAGTCTCAGGGGAACAAAATAGACAACAAAAAAAGGTTCGCAAAAGAACAAAAGGGGCCCTGGAAGAGGGTATCAGCCTGCTATCTGAATAGACAACAAAAAAAGGTTCGCAAAAGAACAAAAGGGGCCCTGGAAGAGGGTATCAGCCTGCTATCTGCAGGAAGAACATGCTGAGAAACTGAGAGGTCAGGGGAGCCTGTTGCTGTCTTCGCTTGATTCCAGAATGTTTGGGAGGCTCCAGGAGTGTAGGATATGCTTCAATTTGATGGAAAATTCTTGGAGGGGGTGCACCTGTTCAGAAAATAAGAAAATTAACTGATTTGTTGATGATCTGCTAGGGAGTGCTGAATAAGTTGGAGAAGATGCAGTCATTCCTAGCTTGCCAAATGACCCAACTGATGGTTGAAAAACATATACTCCAAAGATGACGAGCTGAAGATTGGATGGATGAGTCATAGCAGATAGCTAAACACTGTCTGATGTCTGCTGGGAGAGGGCTTATAACCTAGAAAGGAATGGAGCCCAAATCTGATTGGTGAAAGCACATTCAAGGAATAAATGATCATGAGATTTCTGGGAACTACAGAAGGTGCAGGAGGAGCCCCCTAACCATCATTGGTTAGCTAATCTGTCCTTGGTCTTTAGTCTGAATAAACTCAAGAGCCAGAAGAAAATTTGAACTTTACTTGGTAGCAATGTGTTCCAAATGATAGCATTGAATTGGTGGCGCAATCCTCCGTCTGCAAGAATAAAGTATAGAGACTTGACAAAAAATTTCTTAGAGGAGGATATAGACCAATATGGTATGTCCACTGCAGTGGATGGCTGCAAATTGTAAGTTGCCAGAAAATTGCAAGAGATTAAACACCTCATTTCTATCGCAGACATCAATAGTTTTTTTCAACAACTGTAAAATTCCATATGTCCACTGCAGTGGATGCCTGATCATGCTCGATTCAGTTTCATTTGCAGGTCATTGAATCTAGCTATTATGGATCAAATTATCTTGCTACAGCCCGATTCCCCATGACTCTCTACAGTTTGACAAAGATACATCTTTTGAAGCTAATGAATGCTGCTCAAATTGAGCTCCCTTCTGTCTATTTATGTCAAACTTAAAGAAGATATGATTCTGCTACATTAAGTGGACATGTAATTAGATAATTTCTGTTACCTTATTTATTTTGAAGTATTTCTCTCAATATCCTGATTTTTTATATGCCAAATGAGTATTCTTTATGATACTATTTATAACCCTATAACGTTTATTTATAACATCACTTAATAAAAGTGACAAATCATTTCTGAGAACAAACATAAATTGTCAATCAAAAGTCATTCAATCAAAACCTAATATATATTATATATGATATCTTTCAAATATATGTCACATAGAAAAAAATTGATCAATGCAATAAAAGCTATAGGGATACATATAAACATAAAAGTTTTTACACGTGCATCGCACGTGCACGATACTAGTATTCATTAATATGTTAGTAAGTTACCTAATGAGCTTTAAGAATGAACTTTGGAATTCATTTACATAAAGTTATCTAAAATTAAACTCATAATGTTAGATAGCATATAGTAGAATTCACAGAAACATAAATTCCCCAATGAAATTTTTTGAAGTAAATTTGGATGTTAAAAAATATAATAATAAAACCTTACCATTATTCATATGCTTATATAAACCTATTCATGACTATTATGTTGAAATTTGATTATTATATCAAACTGAATGTCAATTATTTGACTAAAAAACAAACACAAATGAATTTTATATTATTCATCTAAAAGTAAAAAGATAGTAAAGAAGCAACCTTGCAAAATTGTGGCCTTCTAGTTAAAAGAACTACTTCATTTGGCTTGCTAAAACTGCCAAAACAATGAATTAGAGCTTGAACAATATCTAATTTCTTAGCTCCAAACCATGCACATCGCACATTTGTACTCCATCGCTCCTCTTCAGTGAGCTTCATTGCTATCTCGAATGTCTCTTTCCTTTCTCAGCTCAATGCTAGCCTTAGGAAAATATTGATGTATGAACCTTATGTTGCCAAGGTTTGCTAATGGACCCATTCCTGAGATCAACAGATTTTGTATAGAAATATAGGCATCGATTCCCCTTTGAATTGTATCAAGCTTCGGTCTCAAAGCATGTGTAGGATTTACTCGTCTCTCTGGACTCGGACAACATGCTTAATAACTTTAGGAGGACAAAGATCCAATCTTGCATCTTCATTTATCATGGGCATATTACCTTTTTTCTCAAAATCCCACTCTTTTTCATCCTTGAATAATGTCGTTTATTCAGTATTAAGCAACTAAATTGTCCCTACTATTCTTGGAAACCTAATGCTCGACTTTTCATTCTTGAATGCATTGATAAGAATTATTATCAAATATCAACTATTGTTTTCTTTGTATAATTCTATTTCTATTCTTAATTGTTATGAAAAATGTATTATATCTTTAAGTATCATGGATAGAATATTTTATCTTTAATTGTTATGGAGAAAAGTTTTGAACAATAAGAATTGTTTAAAATAAAAATCTATAAGGCAAGTCAAATCCTATATATAGTGTCTATATGTAGTCTTAAGAACATAAGTGGATAATAGAAAAGAATTAGAAATTTGAGAATCTATTGTTAGATCTAAATAAAAACTTGAGATCTAAAACCATAAAGCCATGATTAATTCGAAGAGATTAACAAGAATCATAAAGAGCGGAAGCTTATACCTGAATCCATAGATGAAACCTGAGATGTATTTTGGATCTTCTAACCTTAAGGGTTTCTCTATAGCTGAATTTCTCTCTTGATGGGGGTGAAGAGAATTAGAGAATATAACCCTAGATTAGGGACCATAACCCCTTATCTATAGATGTTGTACATTTGCAATTTGGCCATGTAGGCAATAAAAATTGCCTTTAATCCTTATAAGAGAAGTTCAGAACAAAACTGCTAAAACCTCGCCCGAAATAGCAGAAAAAGGGGGAAACGCAGATATCCAGAGAAGTTCAGAACAAAACTGCTAAAACCTCGCCCGAAATAGCAGAAAAAGGGGGAAACGCAGATATCTCCCAAACCGTAAGGAATTTGGCGAAAAACCTCGCCCGAAATAGCAGAAAAAGGGGGAAACGCAGATATCTCCCAAACCGTAAGGAATTTGGCGAAATGGAGGAAGCGAACTGAAGCCCTTGGCTTGGTTCGGATGGCTCCATCTCATCGAGATAGGCGATTTTCATATATAAGTCGTCCAATTCCGACTTACGGTTTGAAAGTTACGGCCCATTCTTCGATCCATGCTCTAGAGCTCGCCTAACGGCTTGAAGCTCGCCTGCAGACCCAGGATCGTCTGCAGTCCCCAGCTTCGCCTGCAATCCGCCTGCAGACCCAAGTCTGCCTGCGCACCTGAGCTCGCCTGCAAACCCAGTTCGCCTGCTAGCTCGCCTGCAGACCCAAGTCCGCCTGCAGTCCCAAACTCACCTGCAGACCCAGTTCGCCTGCAAGCTCGCCTGCAGACCCAAGTCCGCCTGTGGTCCCAAGCTTTCCTGCAGACCCAGCTCGCCTGCAGACCCAAGTCTACCTGCAGTCCCAAGCTCGCCTGCAGACCCAAGCTGCAGACTCGTCAGCTCACTGTCAACTGCCCACTGGGAGCATGGGAACAGTTACATCAGTGGTCGAATCCCACAAATCAGGGGAGAGGGCACAGTACCCCAAGACCGTCAAGCGGCCGCTCACAGTACGGATGATTGGGCAGGTGTCGAATCAACCTGCACCCTCATAAATGCGACTCACCTCACTTGTCCAAGCGAAGGGGTGAGAGCCGCCGGCGCTCAGTGAGTTGGCCATATCCACTCGAGTACCTGACAGCCACTGTCACGCATACAAGGAGGGGTTTTCCCATTCCTAAGTGATGTGATGTAAAACATGGCTCCTCGAATGACCGCTCCTGTTGCAGGTGAACAGCAGGATATCTCTGAACGACGTGTGGTCACATCCCATAATTCACACATAGTTAATTGATTAATTCAATCAGTTAACTGAACCACTGGCTCTCGACTCCCAACGGAGTCGACGACAAGCTCTCTGCATCACTTTTGCATTGCAGCGCCACTTCCTAGTTCTGAGCCCCGATCGCCGGTGAACTAGAAGACCCAAACTCCATCGAACCGAGTTTCTACTATGTACTGAAGCTCCGGCAGCAACTTCGATCGGATCGTCCAAGGGAAGCAGACTCGGCACGAGCACCGAGCGAGGCGTCCTATCGCCACCGAGGAACCCACGTTAAACAAGGAGGGCCTTCCCTCCACTTCTGTTGTAAACATTTGATTTATTAGTTTGTAATAAGCCTTCTTATTAATACAAACGAAGCTCCCTGTTTTCGGGAGATCAAAATTTACACCTACAGGCCCCTCAACAAATCATAATTACAACCTGGTATCTGCACATATAACCCCATGGTTTATTTAAATATCTATTAACCCAAATTAATTGATCACTTTAGTGGGTTATCCTGAAAGATAGCAATACACATTAATTAATCATATGTGCCCACAAATAGATTTATTAGATTAAATCCAACATCTATTTCTCAGTATTGCTCCTCTTCGATAATAAGTGGATTTCAATTGGAAGTTTTTTCTCTTGAGGAAGCTATTTCGGATTGATCTTAGACAGGTTATTGAATAAATTTGAAAAACGTTTCTAGTATTCCTCTAATTTTTAATTAATTTTGATTAATAATCATGATATGCATATTCTGTTTCCTTGTATGTCATGTTTCCAATACCAAGACCACCAGGTTTTTCTAGTTTGCAAACCAAAAACCAGGCTACTTTTGCTTTAGACTGACTCCAATAAGCATGAGTCCAGGGAAAATCATGACATATCCGTTCAATTGTTCCTTCTTTTTTCTTAAGAAGAAGAAGAATAAGAAGAAAATATTGCTCGATGAGCAGCTGCATGCATACTATATAACTCTGATTTTATAAACTGCAATCTCCCAGAGAGCAAGAGTTAACTTAATTTATATTTTCTTACTGTACGCACTACCACATATTTTCTCTAACGCAACGGTTCAAAACCGTTGCGTTAGCCATGGAACTGTCGCCCTTGAGCAAGTGCGACGGTTCTCAAACCGTCTCATATACTGCCGTTGCCCTACCTCTACCGTAACGGTTTTGAACTCTATTGCGATGGTTTTTTGAACCGTTGCCCCTGCATCTAACGCAACGGTTTTAAAATGTAAGCGGTTTTAAAGCCATTGCAACGGTTTTGATTGAGCTATTGCGACAGTTTTTAAGCTATTGCAGTGGTTTTGATTGAGCTATTGCGACGGTTTTCAAGCTACTGCAGCGGTTTTTTTAGATATTACAACGGTTTTAAAAGACCAAACGCAAAGGTTTTAGTAGGGTAAAGCTATGGTTTTGATAGAGCTACGGCAACAGTTGGAGCTATTGCAACAGTTTTAAAAGACCTAACGCAACGGTTTTAGTAGGCTATAAGTATGGTTTTGATAAAACTACGGCGACAGTTGGAGCTATTGCAACAGTTTTAAAAGACCTAACGCAACAGTTTGGATCGAGCTATCGCAGCGGTTTGGATCGAGGTATCGCAACGGTTTTGATCGAGCTATTGCAACTGCTCAATCGAAGCTGTTCTTGGTTTCCTACGTCAAAATAATTATAGTATTCAATTACCTGGATAATCTTTTTAAGAACATGGTCAAGTCAAATTTTAATACACAATATAAAAGTGATTATGTTGAGCATAATCAACCATAATGATAAGTGCCAACATACATCAGTATAGTATAAAAACTACAAAGTATTAAATCCACACTACCAACATTTCAACTCAGAAAATATCGTACCGAACTAACATTCAAACAATGTACATCAACATTTGATTACAAAACATGAAACTTCTGAAATTGGAAGGTGATATGTTGGCCTGCCAGATGATTAAAAGTCTCCCTCCTGACATTGGACACAAAAGTAAGTATAAATAAGTACTATAGAGAAGAGGAAGTGCACGACATGAGAACATTTCTGAAAAATAAATACCTGGTGATATCATAGACTAATAGTGCGCCTGCAGCTCCTCTGTAATAGGATCTTGTAATGGATCTGAAGGATTCTTGGCCTGCCTATAATGATAGAAACTTCAAGTCAGATGCATATAATAGTTACGAACATATAATAGCTAGAGATAAACCAATGATAGAAGCAGAGAAACATTTACATGTATATACCGAATCACAGGACAAAGAAAGTGATGATGTGTTACAAACATTTATAGCAAAAAGTTCATTAAGAAGGCTATTTTTTACAGCATAAAAAAGAAAATTCAGCATAAAATTTCATAGTACTATCAGTTAGTACTCTTCAACATCCATTAGGGCTGAACACAAACATTCGTTAGTTCTTATTAGTTGGTAATCTTCAACATAAGAACTAAGATTTATGTAATTTGAACTTGAACCCTACAAATTACAAGTACTGAAGAGTTGCACAACATTCCATTAGGATTTCTGTTATGGATTTCCCCAGTTGCATACCCTTTTCCTATATTCTACATTCACAACATTTCTTTCTAATAGATGGTGTATTCAGAACCTGTAGAAATTAAATCCAACAAAATGATGGAAATTACAATTGAACATTCCACATTTCATAAAATATCTAAGACCCTGAATCCATCAAAACTAATTAATAATACTTCAAACAGATTTGACCAATCTCATATTATTCAAACGCGTTAACATAGCCTCCGTCTAATTTGGAAACTTGCAAGAAATAACAAACTGAATTCAAAATTAAGCAACCAATAGTATTTGATCTTATGATTTAGTTGTCTTATCTAGCACTCCATTGCTGACCTGGCTCTGTCAAGCACACCTGGTAACCAAAGAGACCTCAATATTGAAACTTTAATACTACATCTCTAGGGAACAATAAAAGAGAAGATGTTAGTATTTCATGGTTTGGACAGCTCCAAAGACTTCCAGACTACCTGCCTCCCATGTAAAATACCAACCAATCATCTACTGATGTTTTCCCACTTATATTACTGAATGACCATCACGAATTGGCAAATGTCAACAACCTTTTTATCAAACCTTGGCATTTTATTTCTCTATCAATCTTTAAACCGGCATGTCTTTGCTATTTTCAAACAAGTGATAATATAGTTCATGTAAATGCAGAATCATCAATTTCCATAACTGATTATATGTCGCTACAATATTTTTGCGTGAACATGTAACCATGGCTAACATGAAGAGGAATATGCAGATAGTGGATTTTTTTGACAATAGTGGAATGAATATTTTGGGGTTAATTGTGGATAGACCCTTTGTATTATCATAGAGCGAGAAGAAAGCAACGAGGAAAAAGAAGAAGTAACTAAAACGAGTCAAGAAAAAACTACAGAAACCAGTTCAAGAGCTAAGAAGGCTAAGAAATGTCGAAGTGTAAAAGGTACTTGCCTCTTCATGATCTAGAACACTAGCAGTCTCTTCAGGAAGTTTAGTACGCGCTTTAAACCTGTCAACAAAGCTTGGACTAACTGGACGTTCAGTTACTTCACTCAACATATCTGCAAATGTTTGAATCATACTTGTAGCTTGAGGTTCTTGTTGTCTCTTCATCTCCTCTTGTTGAGTGGCCACCACCTTCTTTGTTATTGCTTGAACAATTGACTCAGGGACTTGATCACATGGATCAATGGCTTTCTCCTTATTGCTTTGTAGCATGCTTTGAGTGATCGCCCGTCCCCGGAGACGCACACGTCCAGGATGTTCTTTTTTATTGACAAGATGCCATGCATCTACATTTTCTCCTTAAGTTTGTTCCTGAGTTAGCTCCTGAGTTAGTTGTTCCAATGTACCAATCATGTCAAGTGTTTTTTCTGGTTGCGCTTTTTTCTTCTTTTTACGAGTCTCTATAAACACTTCTGCATCTGTTGGAGGCCGGTTCAATTCCTTTTCCTACAACAAAACAACACATCAATCATTTAGCCATTCATTGCATGTCTAAATCATTTAGCTATTATTAATGCATAATTACACTGTAAATCATATATAAACAACATGATTACCATATCTCTACGAATTCTTGCAAAACTTTTTGAACCCGCTGTGTGCAAGAGCGTTTGACTGTTTCGACTTTCCTTATTCTTTTCACTTGCTTTCTACATAATCAAAGAACTTCTAATAAGTATTCTTTAATCAAAATAAGCTAAAGCCAACCTCGTAGTGCTAATGATGTAAAGAAAAATAGGATATATTAGAAATAAAGACTGAAAATTCTGCAACAAACAATCTGAAACAACAGCCCAAGGTAACAAAGAGACAGAGTGAGTGAGTGAGTGATATAAGCTAGAAATATTGTGTGGACGGTCCTCTTTGTGCCACTTCCTCTTTACAGATATTCATCAGTCATGTGGCTATGCTTTGGTTTCACATCTCACTCTCTACACTTACTCTCATTCACTGTGATGTTGATGCTGGAAAAAGTTTTTATTCTATCTTTCATTGGAATCAAATATTGAAAACTGGCAAAATAACAAATTCCTTGACATAAGTCCTCCTGAAATAAGCAAAAAACAAAATAAAATTAGAGACAACAGAACTCACTCTGACAATGAGAAACTTTAGACTTTCAACGGTCATTAACACTGTTAGAAGAATTTCAGCTAATTCAAAGTTTGAGATAACTTATCTAATAAAAATGATTTACATTTTTTTTGTGAAAGTCCTAATAAACTTCATTATAGTGTTGTGATGTGAACTTAGAAGTTGAATTCAATTAAGCTTGGCTAGATCAAAGATTCAAGATTCCTGACACAAAACTCTTGCGAGCGTCTAATCACAAGAAGTAGATGACTTTGATACGTTATGGTAGAATTAGTTAAAACTACCCACTTGTTTTCCTAGCATCTGAGGCTAGGAAAGTGATGTTGGCTGTTACTATTTCTATCCCTTGCCTCTTACAATGTTTGTAACTTGGCAGGGTGAGCATGAATATTGTTTCTGAAAATATTCCCACTTGCTGTGTCTGTGTAACGTGTGGATTAGAACAATTAGATTTGTTTGATCTTACTGCAACGAAAGATTCTGTTATTCTAAGATTCTGTTATTCTGTATTCATGAGCTGTAAACTAAGACTTTTATTATAATTATCTAGTGTTATTTATCCAAAATTTAGGCATCATGAATACGCATACGTTTCTTTATGATCGATAAATAATTTTTTTTCTCTATTGAAAGCTGAATTTTAGGGAATGCAAAAAGTTAAAAGTCTGCACCTTGAAAGAAAGAAAGAAAAAAACAAAGGAAAGAAAGGAAGAACATTGTTGTAGGTCAATGCTGGAATACAAACTTTTCAGACGCTCTTGATAAATTCTGGATCAATCCATCTCTTCCCTGTATCTTCCACAAGTTATTAATAAATGAGTTATGATAATTTAAGTCTGATCCATGATGTACCTTATGATCTGACAGTCAGTGAGGGAACTGAATTTGATCAGAGTTTCCAAGAATTTTGTGGAATGAATTGTGAGTTGTTAATCAGTCCGGATTGGTAGTTGAGTTCAAGTTAGTAGATAGAATTCTAGTTAGAGTAGAATACTAGTTAGTAGATAGTTTTTTCTAGTTATTGGATAAGATTAGAGTTGTAATCTTAATCCTATATATATGTAAACCATATTGATGAGTTTAATAAGAGAAAATATCAGAACTTCTCCACCGAAAATAAAATCCCTCTGTTCTCTTCTACTCTCTCTGTTTTGCTGCTGTTGTTCGGTCCCAAAGGACAGTCCCAGGTTCGGCCAATAGCAAGTGCAGGAGCAGAGACTAAAAAAATCCCTGCAGCAAAGTCCTGTGTGTTCTTTGGTGTTCGGTTTTCTCCAAAATCAGTGAAAGAAGCTTTGTTTTCAGGTTTGTACAAAAGCTTACAGGTTGTACTTGAGCCGATCCTATCTCAAAGCCAACAAGTGGTATCAGAGCCGGTGTATGCCTAAGTATCAACCAAGATCTGAAGAGATGACGAGTTCGGAGAAGATGACGACCAAGGTGGGTTCGCTCACTCTTCAATACCCGACGCTATCGAGGGATAACTATGCTTCGTGGGCAATCAAGATGAAAGTCTACATGAAGGCTCAAGACGTGTGGGATGCCATTGAGCCCGCGGCAGGCGCGTCCGTGGAACACAGGAAGGATCAGATGGCGTTGGCGGCCATCTACCAGGGGATTCCTGAAGAGACTTTGATGGTGATCGCAGAGAAGCAAACGACAAACACACAAGTATAAACACCTAAACTAAATACCAAGTTATAGGTATTCAATAAGCTTGTCTTGGTTTGCGGATGAAACTTGATCTTGAATCTTTGACTTAAATTGTATTGGCTTCATTCCGATTCCGCCAACCTCCTTTGAATATTATCATTAAGCTCAATCCAACCAACCTCTAACGGTGTTATTTTTCTAGAATACCTAATAGGTAAATACAAACACTAGACAAACAATATTAGGTATTGTTTGTAAATCATCAAAACAAGATTAGAGATGTAGGCTCATAAACATGAGACCTAACATTGAATACTAGTGATTCAGCAATATATTATAATATATCATTTTGTGCACCTATATGCATAGTTTATCCCCTATATAACCAAAAAGAAAAGAAAAGAAAGGCATGTCTGGCTATTTGGTGACCTAGCTTTGATTGTGAGTTGTTAATCAGTCCTAGTTAGAATAGAATTGTTAGTTTTGAATCCATGTTATTAGATAGAGTTCTAATTATAGTAGAATACTAGTTAGGATAGGTTTCCTAGTTATTGGTTATAAATATGTAAACAAGTCTTTGTAATTTTGAGAACGTTAATGAAACTTCAAAAAGTTCCTGCTCCATCTATTTTTGTGTTCGTCAGCAAAACAGGAGGTCATTATTCCGGCCTCTGTTAATCCACCAAAACAGAGCCAGAAAGAAGAAAACGCCCAGGAGATTGTCCCCTGTCCTTCGTTCTTTGCTGCTGTCAGTTTTCCCAGAAATCAGCCTATCTCTATTTACAGGTTTGATACTGCAGGCCGATCCTATTACAAAGCCAACAAGTGGTATCAGAGCGGTGTATGCCTAAGTACCAACCAAGATCTGAAGAGATGACGAGTTCGGAGAAGATGACGACCAAGGTGGGTTCGCTCACTCTTCAATACCCGACGCTATCGAGGGATAACTATGCTTCGTGGGCAATCAAGATGAAAGTCTACATGAAGGCTCAAGACGTGTGGGATGCCATTGAGCCCGCGGCAGGCGCGTCCGTGGAACACAGGAAGGATCAGATGGCGTTGGCGGCCATCTACCAGGGGATTCCTGAAGAGACTTTGATGGTGATCGCAGAGAAGCAAACGACAAAAGAGGCATGGGAGACGTTGAAAACTATGCACCTAGGAGCGGATCGTGTGAGGAACGCGAAGGTGCAGACCTTGAAGTCCGAGTTCAAACTTCTCCAGATGAAGGAGAATGATAACGTCGACGATTTTTCGACGAAGTTGACAGGAGTCGTCAACAAGATCCGGGCTTTAGGCGGCGAGATGGAGGAGAACTACGTCGTCAGAAAGCTTCTTCGGGCGGTGCCAGAGAGATTCCTTACTATCGTCTCCACGATTGAACAGTTCGGGGACATCGACGACATGACACTCGAGGAGGCGATCGGGCGGCTCAAAGCCCACGAGGAGAGGGCACGTGTGTTTCGAAACAACGTCGACGATCATCTATTGTTGACGCATGCGGAGTGGCAAGCAAGGAGCAAGAAGAACGGCGGAGGCTTCCTCTCAACACCTTCAACCAATGATGGTAGCGGACGAGGTCGCGGTCGAGGAGCTGGTCGCGGACGAGGGCGTGGCCAAAGAGGCCGAGGCGGACAGCAGTACCACGGCAACGGGCAGCAGCACCACGCTGCCCAGACAGGCCGCGGAGGAGAGCACGGCGGCCAGGCAGGCCGAGGCGGCTTCGGCGGCAGAGGAGGACGTCCAGGAGGTGGTTTCGGCCATGGAGGTGCAGCTCGCCAGGAGGGGGAGAGTAGCACAAGCGGTGGTCGAGACAAGTCCAACATTAAATGCTTCAATTGCGGAGTATACGGGCACTTTCAGTCGGAGTGTCACAAGCAACGCCGCAACCATGAACAGGAGGCTCATCTCACCCGTGCATATGACGAGGAGCCAACCTTGATGATGGCTATGTTAGAGGAATCGTCAAGTGTTATTTTGCTTAATGAGGAGAAGGTGATGCCGGATTTACTTACAGCGGGGGAGGCACATGTTGACAACAACACTTGGTATCTTGACAACGGAGCTAGCAATCACATGACCGGCCACCGAGACAAGTTCAAGGAGCTCGACGAGAACATCAAGGGAACCGTCAAGTTTGGTGATGGATTCGCGGTAGAGATCAAGGGGAAAGGCTCTATCCTCTTTTAGTGCAACAACAGCGATCAAAGGCTACTACCTGAGGTATATTATATTCCAAGTTTGAAATCTAACATTATTAGCCTTGGTCAGATGACTGAAGATGGGAGTAAAGTTGTTATTGCTGACGAGTTCCTGAGGGTGTTTGATAGGAACGGTGCTCTCTTGATGAGGGTGACACGTTCAACTAACCGATTGTACAGGATAGAGTTAAAGACTTGCAAGCCGGCGTGTTTGATGGCGAACATTAACGATCCAGCTTGGTTATGGCATGCTCGTCTTGGGCATGTCAATTTCTTCGCCCTCAAGATGATGACTGATAAGAGGATGGCTTCCGGGTTGCCGAAGATCTTGCACCCGAATCAACTATGCGAAGGATGCCTCGTCGCCAAGCAAGCAAGGCTGTCGTTCCCTTCACAAGCAAATTTCAGAGCTCAGAAGCCGATGGAGTTACTACATGCTGATCTATGTGGTCCTATCACCCCATCTACGCTTGCTGGGAACAACCACTTCCTTCTTATCGTTTATGATTTCAGTCGATGGATGTGGGTATACATGTTGAAGGCCAAGAGTCAAGCTTGTGAAACCTTCAAGAAGTTCAAAACAGAGGTTGAGAACGCATGTGACCACAAGGTGAAGACATTGAGGACGGATCGTGGTGGCGAGTTCTTGTCAAAGGAGTTCACCAAGTTTTGTGAAGACTACGGCATCAAGCGTCATCTCACTGCACCGTACACCCCGCAGCAAAACGGTGTAGTGGAGAGGCGTAATCGCACGGTGATGGACATGGCGAGGAGCCTACTTAAGAGCATGCATATGCCTGGAACCATGTGGGGCGAAGCGGTTAGGCACGCGGTGTACATCCTCAACCGACTACCAACCAAGGCGTTGTACGATCACACACCCTACGAAGCTTGGTTTGGTAAGAAACCCCACCTAGAACACTTGAGAGTTTTTGGATGTATGGCGCATGTGAAGATTGCAGGTCCTTCTCATAAGAAACTCGACGACCGGAGCACGCCAATGGTGTATATTGGGGTAGAAGAAGGAAGCAAAGCGCATCGTCTTTACAACCCTCAACACGGCAGAATTCATGTCAGCAGAGACGTCGCGTTCGAGGAAGGAAAAGGATGGGAATGGAGCGCCGACGGAGACGTAGAACCACCTAGCTGCGTGGAGTTCGCAGCGGAAGAGGAATCAACAACAACCGGCACAGCAACCGGCGCGTTTCCTGCAGTCCAAACTGGACAGACTGTAGCCGAACCCCCTGCTGGCCGAACTATCCCTGCAGGAATTCATGCTGGCCGAACCAACACAATACAGCTGGGCGCTGCTGCTGCTGGAACATCTGCTGGAACTGCTGCTGGACCACCTGCTGCAGGAACTCAAATTGTAGCGGCGCTGACCGGAGATGAGTCTGGACAGCCAGCACACCGAGGGCGGCAGCAAACAGGTGCCCGAACCAGTCAACAGACTGTTGCAGGTCCAGGAACAGCTGCTGTGGCAGCAGATCCAGCGATGTTAGAGCTGTCCGGACCTCCTGAAGCTGCAGTGATGACTCCTGTACGCTATCGATCCCTTGCGGACATCTATGCGGAGACGGAGGTGATCGATCTTCCTGCAGAGGAATTGTTCCTGATTTCTGAAGAACCTGCGAACTATCTCGAGGCCGCATCAAATCAAGAATGGCGGACAGCAATGGAGAAGGAAATGGAGGCCATCGAGAAGAACAAGACTTGGATACTCACGGAGTTACCACGGGGTTCCAAACCCATCGGTCTCAAATGGGTATACAAACTGAAGAAAGACAATGAAGGCAATATTCTCAAGCACAAAGCAAGACTTGTAGCAAAAGGATACGTCCAGCAGCAAGGCGTGGACTTCGATGAGGTGTTTGCACCTGTGGCGAGACTCGATACCATCAGAATAATCCTCGCTATATCAGCACAGAACGGGTGGGAGGTGCACCATTTGGATGTGAAGTCGACATTCCTAAATGGTGATCTCCAGGAAGAAGTTTATGTGGTTCAACCTGAAGGGTTCGTTGTGAAGAATCAAGAGCACAAGGTCTACAAGCTTTCAAAGGCACTCTACGGTCTACGCCAAGCACCTCGGGCATGGAACACGCGCCTCGACAAGTGCATGAAGGGCATCGGATTTGCAAGATGTACTCAGGAGCAGGCGGTATACACCATGAGTAACAGAGGGGATACACTCATTGTTGGCGTGTACGTAGATGACTTGATCGTTACGGGCTCGAGGGCGGGTGAGATAAAGTTTTTCAAGCAACAAATGATGAAGGAGTTCGAGATGAGTGACCTTGGATTGCTTTCCTATTATCTTGGTATCGAGGTGGATCAGCGAGATGATTGTATTGCACTAAGGCAGGCGGCCTATGCGAAGAAAGTTTTGGGTCAGTTCGGCATGATGGATTGCAACCCGACTCAATATCCTATGGAAACAAAGCTAAAGCTTGGAAAGGATTCTGAAGGAACACCAGTGGACGTGACGGAGTATAGACGCATTATCGGATGCTTAAGGTATCTAACTCACACCCAACCCGATATCACATATGCCGTGGGGATTGTGAGTAGGTACATGGAGCACCCTACAGTTTTGCATAGACAGGTTGTCAAGCATATTTTGAGGTACGTGAAGGGTACTATGTCCTACGGATTGGTGTACAAACGAGGCCAAGGCAATGAAGAGTTGGTGGGATTCACTGACAGTGATCTTGCGGGAGATGTTGATGATAGGCGCAGCACAGGTGGCATGGCATTTTATCTAGGTGACAGTTTGGTCACTTGGACATCACAGAAGCAGAAGACGGTGGCATTATCATCCTGCGAGGCAGAATTTATGGCGACAACTGCAGCAGCGTGCCAAGGCTTGTGGTTGAGGAGTTTAATCAGCGAGGTGATTGGGAGTGAGCCCAAGCCGGTCACACTCTTCGTCGACAACAAGTCAGCGATTGCCTTGATGAAGAATCCAGTTTTCCATGGAAGAAGCAAGCATATCGACACACGTTTTCACTTCATTCGTGAGTGTGTTGAGCGAGGACAGATTAAAGTGGAGTTCGTGAGCACGAGCGAGCAGCGAGCGGATATTCTCACGAAGGCACTAGCAAGGGTGAAGTTCATCGAGATGCGGGAGCTTCTAGGAGTAAGGGACTTGGAATCTCGTCCAGATTAAGGGGGAGAATGTGAGTTGTTAATCAGTCCGGATTGGTAGTTGAGTTCAAGTTAGTAGATAGAATTCTAGTTAGAGTAGAATACTAGTTAGTAGATAGTTTTTTCTAGTTATTGGATAAGATTAGAGTTGTAATCTTAATCCTATATATATGTAAACCATGTTGATGAGTTTAATAAGAGAAAATATCAGAACTTCTCCACCGAAAATAAAATCCCTCTGTTCTCTTCTACTCTCTGTGTTTTGCTGCTGTTGTTCGGTCCCAAAGGACAGTCCCAGGTTCGGCCAATAGCAAGTGCAGGAGCAGAGACTAAAAAAATCCCTGCAGCAAAGTCCTGTGTGTTCTTTGGTGTTCGGTTTTCTCCAAAATCAGTGAAAGAAGCTTTGTTTTCAGGTTTGTACAAAAGCTTACAGGTTGTACTTGAGCCGATCCTATCTCAAAGCCAACATGAATATCGTTAAAAGATTAGTTATCACCTTAAAGAGGACCATGGCATACATATATAATAATTTAAGTGAATAAAACAGAAGGATCAGACTTGCTCATTTGATTAAACTCAGACATTAAGAAGTCGTTATCCTATTTAACTCAAACCTGTCCAGATCTAGTCATGTGGCTTTAATTGCGTTTGTATACATGTTTGTGTACAAAGCAAAATGTGTACGCGTTTGTGTCTGTTTGTTTCAGAAGGCAAAAGAGCAAGGAAATAAAGAAACAAAAACAATGGTATTAATAGAAAATTAAATTCTTACCCTTCCATTTTGAGAATGCCAAATCTTTAGTAAAGCTCTAAATTGATCCTTGGGAACATTCTTGGGGCGCTTTTTCCATCTTTCTCCATCATTTTTTAAACCAGTAAAGCATTGACGTTTCAGCAAGCACTTCCACCGCCTCCATGCACTATTAATTATTTGCAAGGTCCATTTTCGTCCAGAATCGGCAATTGAATACTTCTCCTACAATGACATAACAATATACAAGTTAAAATCTACCTTGTCATTACACAAAATGATTTTTTTTGTGCTATATCATACCTTCACATAGTCCCATAAACTATCTTTGTCTTCTTTCCCAATTTCGTGCCAATTCTTATCTAGTGGTGTTCGTCTTGGATTTCTTCCAAGGGTACCCAGAAAACTACTAAGTTCATTTAAAATTCTAATTGGTGTATCAGATATCACAGAAACTTCACCAAACATATACATCCTTTTAAGTTAAAAGGGTCATATTACTTTAAAATTCAAACAAATTAAAACTAAGATATGAAATAGTTGCATTTATCTTATGGTTCTTCCAGACTCTCACCAAATCTTTCTTAACCTGGTAAAATCATTATACTCTTCTAATATGCATTCATAGTACACTGACAATATATAAAATAGAAAAAAAAAACAATAAAAAACGAGATCAGATAAATTGCATATCAAAGCTTCAAAGCATTACCAAGTTCAAAACAAAGGATTGATGCCAAGGGCACATCCCATAGTTGCACTTTTCTGCAGGCCACCAATCAAGAGTCACACATACGAAAGATCGATCGGTATTGGCAATGGTAGTCGCCCCCTCTATGTCTACAGTCACATTTACAGAATTAAATAGCACGGAGCTGAATCTAAAGTATACACAACATGAAAATTCAAATAAAAATATGTTCAATCGTCAAAAATTTACAGATAAATAAGATGCAAAAAGGGAAACGAGAAGGTTGAATCTAAGAGTTCGGAGTGGAAGAGAAATCTGACCGAGTACCAGCTGAAACCCTAGAAATCTCCGGCGAGGACTGGGCTCGATTTCTGGCGAGGACTGGGCTCGAAGATGATATCAGAGAGGAGATAGGAGATGAGATCCACGATGAACACAGCGACGAATTCAGTGATGAGATCGCCGATTTTAGGCCATGGCTGAATTTTTGAGAGAGAGAGACAAATTCAGCGACGGAATTTTTTGGCCATGGCGGCGGCGATTTTAGGGATTTGAGAGAGAGAGATTTCCTTTAAGCGGTGGGGTTTAAGCGGTGCGGTCAAAGCATGGGCTTTACTAAAGCTCAAAGCCACTAACGATTATTAAGCCCAGGAACAATTATTAAACCTATGGTAACATTTTATATTAAATGTTGTATTACATTCTGAAAACCGTTACGATAATATCTAACGCAACAGTTAAAACCGTTGCGCCTTAACCGTTGCAATAGATCAATTATGTGGTAGTGACGTTTAGCATTTGATAAAGAACCACCCTTATGCAGGTTAAAGAGGAGTCGGAGCAATGTAGCTTAAGTTGGAGGGAAAATCATCAATCATGTCATCCTGGATTCTCAATTTTACGTTGTCATTTTCATCGCTGGTGCACTAGATGGTTTGTGTGACGATCAATTTATTAGCATATATGCCACCTTCTATTGATGTACTATTTTCTCAAAATATATTATCATCTGTGTGTTTGTTGTGTTTAATTATCTGAAAAATCTGAATGACGTTCAAATATGTGGCAACATCTTTTGTTGAATATCGCTATAGCAGGTAGTCGGACACTCTTCCCTAACCCAAAATCGGTGTGTCCAATTTGGTTGGACTGTTCATACATATCTAGCACTTACGAATTATCTACAGAATGAAATGGTTTCCCTCTTCTTTGACAAAAGAAGCTCATCGATGGTAGACCATTACTATCTTAGGTTTTTCGTTTGTAAACAACAAATCCAATACATATATAAGTTGAATATATATTTATTTAAGAATGTCATTGTTTTACACCTCATATATGTGTGTTAAATTATAGGTTAATGCGATATCACAAGTCAAACTAGTGTCCGAGATTTAGTGTTCTAGTGTTATCAATGTCTGATTTTAGGGACACATCAATTTCCATATCGGATGGCACATGTTGAGAATATATCGGGGACATTTAGTAAATATCAGAGTGTCATATCATATAATGTGTGTGCGAGCATGCGTGCGTGCGTGCGTGTTCATACTTGAAGCATGAGATGATAGAGTTGTAGAGAAACAATAACAAATTTTCATGTTAAACCTTAAAATTATTAAAGAAGTAACTGACATTTTCGAATATAATGGTCGGACTAAATAGATTTTGTATTTAAATCTTAATCCTTTTCACCACTTTTTGGAACCAAAGTTTCGCCTAGCATTCATGATCCATGATGAAAATGAGGAGAGAGATTTTAAAAATTGTGAGGGATTTAGACAGAGAGTAATTTGTCAGCTGCAAGCAACCAAGGAAGGGAAGGCACAATTAGGTGGTGCTACAACACAATCCAACTTAAAGAAGAGAGTCAGAAACTAAAAGAGTTGTAAACCTTTTACAGAAGAATTTGGGCCTGATTGGGTCCTAAATTTCCTTTTTATTTTTTGGCATTTTAATTGAGTACATGTTTAGATTTACGCCTCAATTTTGCCATAAATTCAAATCTAACATGTAAAATAAATAAAAGTTAAAACCAATGTTGCGACATTTTTGGATGAAATGTTGCCCGATATATCATGATTTTCTTGCACTATTGCCTAAAATTTGTTAATAAACAGTATATTATACCAAAAACTTATTGTTTTGTGGCAAGACTTACAAATGAGACTTCATCTCGTAATTAAAATATTACTAATTAAGAATTATTATCCATTTGCTATTAATATTATAGAATCTCAAGTACTCAAAAAATTTAATGTGATTTAAAAGTTGTCATTTCGATGTATCATCATCATCATCATCAAAGTATACATCCCAAATATAGTATTGTAGAATATTCTCCTATACTGATACCAAATATGATATTTTGTCCAATATTTGAACTAAGTTAAGGAAGCAGTGGATTCTACAAAGCTTTTCTTTTCTTTTTTGTCTTCCCTATTTATTTTGCGGACATCATTTGCTTTAATGCAAAAGGAAAACGGCTATGAGGGTGTTTGGAGGGGCTTATTTTTAGAAGCTATTAATCTATGTTAGCTTTTGGTATCTTTTGGATTATATCATAAAACTTGTATAAAAATCCTTTGGGTATAATTTAATTTGCTTGGGCAAACCTAGCTTACTTCGATGACCTTATAAGCTCGTTTTTCAGAAGTTGGAAGTATCCTAGCTTTTTAAAGTGGAGTTTATAAGCTAATTTATTTGGTATTTTTCCAAACAGATAGATACGAAAAGGCTCTAATTTGACTGAAAAATAAGATCCCCAAGCACCCTTTATGTCTTGCTTATTTTTTTCCCTGGTGCTGATCTGATTTTGTTTCGACAGACAGAATATATCTAATGCTTTGATGGTCAACTTGCTCCGGACGGAGTTTCAACAAGTATGTGAATAAAAGAGCTCGGGACAGAGTTTCAGCAAGTATGTGAATAAAGGAACTCAAAAATACCAACCACCAGGATCTCCAAAATAGAACATATATCCAATATTTGTACGAAATATTGGACTCTCCCTCCAAAATACCAACCACCAGGACCTCCAAAATATCAACATGAATTAAATTGCAATGTAAAGCGACATTCATTTAGCAGTGAGGACTCTCCAATGTATTTTCATGATCAAAATTAGATTCTCTCGATTTTTATTTCTTAGTAATGAGGACTCTCCAACGCTTACATTTTGGTGCAAAGGAACTTATTACAATTCAACTTCTAAGATTAACAACCACCAGGACCTCCAAAATAGAACATATGTCCAATATTTGTACGAAATAATTCTCCTAACTTGATGCAAGGTTTGTTGTCAACATAAGAAAACACTTGATCCGGAGTCAAGTCATAAGGTTCTCCACGTTGATTAACAAACTGAATTTCCTGGATTGCTGCTGCTTTCCCCCCACCTTCCTCAGGAAAATGGCCACTACCCATCGGTGGACTTCTCTGATTGTTTTGGAAGTTAACATTCCCACCCCAATAGATTTCTTGAGCACCCACAGATAAACTCTTGAATAATGTTTTCGGCCAGTATCCTAATAATTTATCTTGAACGTGCAACAGCCAATTTCCTCTAGTCTCATCCTATCATCATAAAGAGTTATAAAGTAAGAAGAAGTAAAAAGGCAAAATAGAAATTATTCTTGACAATATTTGCAAGTGTGAACGGTTTGCACACTATGATGCTTTAGAGTATCTTCAAGATACCAAGTATCATATATGATGAACGAATAGCAAATTATGAATTTTCTTAATTTGTAGTATAACAAGACTAATGTTATTTTGGTCAATATAACAAGATTGATGCTATATATAACGCATCATACGAATACGATATAAACTGCCTTGAACGGAAAGCAAAACATTCTTAATCTATAAATTAACTATAGGTGTCATAATCTCTTACATAATTACTTGTGCATATAACTGGTTGGTGTATTGACAGTCATCAATTTTGATCAGTAGGTGGAGTTTGCATGATAAAGGTTTCTAACAAGAAATATTTAGCATCACTATTTTTAGTATCAGTAGCAATTAAGTGAATTATAAATTTCTACATGGACCAAACCCGATAAAAGTTTTTAATGCACGTAAATAGAACATTTTTAAATCATTAATTCATGTAAGTAGACATTCAGTTAATGAGAAGTATAATTTGTACAAAAGCACCTACCACCAAAGTTGTCTACTAAAAAATATTATTTGATGCTTTATAGTAATTTAAACAAAGTGATTTAAGAAATTGCTATAACTAAAATCAGTCACAACAAAATAAATGGAAGGAAAATGATAATCATACTACCTTGTGTAATTTGACTCTAATAACATATTGTGTTCCGTTATAAACGGAAAGTGGCCAAATCTTGAATCCCGGAACTTCAGAAGTATTAGAGGGCACAAAACCCTTGCATAAAAGGTTCAAGCAGCCTGTAGTCATGTTACCATCGGCCTGACATATCATGTCATAAACCATAGTAAGAATGACAATTCATTAAGATAAAAAATATATGTATTATGACAAATTTTATAAACTAATAAGCAGATAAATGTTACCGTCCAATAAGTAAAAAAGTGAGTATCAGTATCGCCATATAACTTCGGATGTACCTAGTAGAAAAAATGTAGGAAGATTTATGTTATAATTGAATAAAATTTATCAATATTCTACATTTCAAAGATCTGAATTTTTCTTTCAAGATGTAAAGGACCCTTAATTTATTAATGAATAATAATGTTTCCAATGAAACCCTTTAGCAAGTAATATAGTATTAAATTACTCACATGCCATCCGACTACTATTGAATTGAAATCTTGACGTGGACCATCCAACCCACTAACGACACTGATATATGCCGTAGTGAATTGACCTATTTCAACGTTTTGTAACCCATAGACTACGAGTTCAGCTTGGGTTCCCCAATGTCCTTCTCTACTTTTGTATAGCAAAATCTGAAAATGTGCGAAAAAATAGAGATTATGAACATAAAATATGTACCCTAATACAAAATGTGATTTCATACAATATATCAAGTAAGCGGCCATCGAGGAAGTCACATATAAATCTTACTTTATTCGGGTTGCCTTCTTGTAAATCGACTTCTTCTCCTGAATCCTTTTTGGGAAATGCTTCATTCTGCGTCAAACATAATTCAAAAACTTATTCGAATATTTTTCTACTTTACATAAATAAGGGTTTTTCTCTATATATAGATATATCTAAAACCACCTCTGAAATCATTACCTCAAACTTTGTTATCATCCTTCAATTTTACACCCATTTTAACTATCTGAGACTAAAACTAGAATGTTCCGTTAAATTTATTTTAAAAATACTGAATAATGACTAATTTATCCTTAGATTAATTAGTTGAAATTTAAACAAAAGGTGTCCCTTAGTTTTATCCCTTCATCCACCACAAAGATGAAACCGCCAAATCCATTGTTGAGAAATTTATTTCGTGGTAATTAAGAAACTTTAAGAATTTTTTTAGAGAAAATATTTAGTGTTATCCCTGTCATCCTCCACGAATTTAAATATAAACTAATCTAAATTTTTTTAGAGAAAATATTTAGTGTTATCCCTGTCATC